CGCTGCCGAACGCGGAGGCCGATTGTGCCTCTTTGTCGCTCGTTCCGCGCTCTCGCTTGCACTTCAAGCCTTAAATGGAACGCCTCAGAGCGAGGTAACGCCGCATGAGTCATGTTTTTTCGTGCGTGCAGCCGACTCCATCGAATTATAAGACGTTGTCACGTCAAAAAGAGAAAATAAGTCCATCTTCATAGATAAATTATTGTGGACATTGCCAATTTTGATCGTCGCAACTATAGTACTCTCCAAAGTTCTATGTTGCTTGCTCTTGTGTCTCATAAGATACTTATAGTTCTTCACTTTAATAATATACAGAGACGTAACATAGGCTTTAGCATATTTTTGTAATTTTCGAGAAAACAATGTTCCATCACAAAAATTATCATATGTGGAATTCTCCATACACAATATACAACTTTCGTCATCCCTGGAATTAGGGTTTTCCATAAATAGTTGAAAGCTTATGGTTATCCCCTAATTCCCAGGTACCTACTGCGTATTCTAATGTTACATTACAACTTTCTGAGAAAGAATGTGCAATGTCATTAAGATAACAAAAATCATATTTACATCAGAAAAATGCTACAATCACAATTAAAACGGCAGAGAGTTTTTCCCATATTTATAATAAATTATTGGAAAGTTAATAAATAAGTTTCATTGACTTAAGTATTCATTCATTTGTGTTACACCCTGATAACCCTAAGATTATCTACTGACTTAGAAAAAAAAACTGCACTGGACCAGGATTTACGATTTATTAACTGAATTTTGGAATTTGACTATCAATTTTCAAATTTTAGAATTACTGATTAACATCCCCAATTATTACGCAAAATCAATAAACCTATTCAATTTAAAATTTGAAACTCTAAATGCTACTGTGGGATTTTGACAGAGAAATAAGAATCCCAACTGACACTAACTGAACTACCTAACGTTTTTTTTTTTAAATATTATTGATTCTTTAACTTCCTGAAGCTCTTCTGCTTTAATTACCAAATTAGCACATTTTTGTATAGTTCGTTCGAAGTTTCTAACGAAAGTGAAAATTTAGATTTCCCATTCGTGGTGTAGTCGGTTAGAAGTTACGCTGTTATTTTTCTAATCACGATTGAAAAAACAGAGCAACACTTTGGGCATTCACTTTCACAGGTATTGTCGTGGTTAAGTGAAAAAACATGATACGAATAAAAATTACTTCCAGTGATTGCGACGTGCACGCATAAGTTTAGAAAAAATATTATCATTCAACGCTACCTGACATTTTGAGAAGTAAAGAGCATGGAGTATTAAATATGCCGTCAATGGTACTGATTACAAAATGTCTATCATCAGCGATGATGTGAATGACATTGGTAAATGCTGGAGTAATGACAAACTGTAAAATAGATGCCTAAAGGTGCAATAATTTTACACAAACAAATGAATTACAAGTTATAAAATTTAATGGATAGGAGCGTCTGTAATAGTATTGAAGATAGTAAAATGAAATGTTCTAAAATTATAAAGAATTCATAAATTTTCATAAATGCATCTGTTGGGGTTTCAGTAAGGATATCGCTAGCCAATGGACCTGAGGGGCAAAATTAATTTTAGGTAAAATAAATCCAATTTGTAGAATTTTAATCGTTTCATCATTATCATAAGATCGTCAGTCCTAAGACTGGTTGGACACGCACCTCGACTCTTTCCTACCCTGAGCTAATCTTCGCATTTCCTTAAAACTAGAACATCCCATATCCNTTCTGAATGTTGTTTACGAGATATTGGAAATCCCTTGTATAATCACTCGATAATTTAACATTTCTTAACTACTTCGAAAAAAACATAAAATCTCAATTTATAAAATAACATAAAATTTAAAATAAATTAGTTGTTAAAATTATAAACATTAATAAATAGTTAAAATGACAACCACAGTTAAAATTGATAGAAGCTTTCGCGGGAAAATGTATTGAAGTTGCTTTCTAACGTTTCGGTAACACGAGTAGCGAACTTCTTCAGAAATCTTTCCATCTCCGATGTTGGATGTGTTCCGAAACAAAATAGCATCAGTTCACAGGTAAAATTTTATTTCAACTGTTTATTCATCATCATAAGGTCGTCAGTCCTAAGACTGGTTGGACACGCACCTCCACTCTTTTCTGTCCTGAGCTAATCTTCGCATTTCCCTAAAACTAGAACATCCCATATCCTTAACTATTTGCGAACAGTAATCTAATCTAGGTCTACCTCTATCCTCTTAACTCCTGTTTCTGCTTCTAATATGTCTTTGATAGCCCTTTGATTGCCTGAGAAGGTGTCATATCAACCTATCTCACCTATTTCTTATTGACTTCCATAGAGTCCTCTGTTCTCCTATTCTTTCTAATATCTCTTCATTTCCAACCTTCTCTATCCACAGTATCGTCATCATTCGCCAGTAACATCACATTTCCAACGCTTCTGATCTTTTCTTTTCCGCCGCGCCCACCGTTCTTGCTTCGCACTCGTACAGCACAGCGCTCCATACATACTAGAAAAAGATAATCCTATTCCACAGTCATTCGCTGAACCAGTGACTCCATCATCGTCTTAATTAGAAATTGCAATGCCATCAACATCTGGAAACCTTCCAAGCATCCAAAATCTCATCCAGATGCCTGAGAAAGCTCCTAATCTTAAGAGAAGACAAGGAAGAAATAAACAGCATGCGACAATTTTGACTTCAACACCGATCAAAGATGTTCTGATTGATAAAGAAAACAAAAGGAAGGTTAAAGCTGAGAAAACTAAGGGAAAAGGAATAGAAAAAAAAAGCAAGCTACAGAAGGACAATATTAAGAGGGTTAAGAAGAAAATTCTCCAGGAAAATACTTCGACGTCAGACGTGAACACGGATGATTTATGCCAGGATGGTGAAGACGACGATGCAGAAGGCGCAAATAACATGTGTATTGTATGTGGTGAATTTGGACAAGACAGCGAATTATGGTATCGGTGCACGTCTTGTGGCCTTTGGGCTCACGCCGACTGTACTGGGAGGGATTCTGCTTCCAATTATGTATGCGACATGTGTTGATCACCATTGTCCACATGCTGATTACCATTGCCAACCAATGTCGACAATGGTGATCAAAGCTATTTTTTTTTTATTATTTCTATTATGCCAAAATGTATGAAGCAAAGTGATTAAAGTTGATCTCAATTAAAAGTTAAATAAGTAAAGTTTATTATAAGAAGATAACAATAAATAGTTGATTAATAGATTTTATTTTATTTCAATTCTTGCTTAAGTGATCTCCATTACCTACATCTCCCCTACACCTTTAATAATCTTTTTCGAATTTCTTAATTAACCGTTCGCGAGCACAGAAGTGACTTCTTCTTATTAAAAGCGACTCGACCCTGCGTTATCCTCTGCTTTATTTCCCTACAACTCCTTTCGTCCTGACCTATCTGACTTCCTTGATACCTAAAATCAGTCACTTCTTCCAATTTTTCGTTTCCTATTTTTAGTTGTTTACTACAAGAAAAAGAAACGCCCATCTAAATTGAAACATTGACTTCTTATATCTATTTTGAATTTCGCGAAATTTGCCGCTAGGGCGGATTTCTAAAGTGGCGTACATTGACTCCTGGAGGTCGACTCCGAAAGGCAAGGGCGCATGAAATGTAAATGGGTGTTCAGGAGAATGTATCCCAGATAGTACCTTTGTACTTACATTATCTTTTCTTATCATAGACATAAAATTATGTCTTAAACGTAAAAATTTTTGAAATAGAAATGCTTATAGAGCTTCGGTGAAAATTTGGAGCTAAATTGGGAACTGCATACTTTAATTACGGTAAGAGTTGTTATTATAAAAGGGAGGGGGATGTGACTAATACAGAAAAAATTGTCTTGAGGTCTACGAGACAAAAGTTTGGGGACCATAATTCAGGACATATATGACTTCGCGTTTGGTTAAATATATCTGAGTCTGTAGAAGGGAGGGAGGTGACTGCTCTCTTTTGGACCCCTTAGCGATGCTCAAGGGTTTCAGATGAGATTCACATGATATTTAAAACAAGATAAAGTAGTATTGAGTTGAAATGTATAGAAGGAGAAATGTCACCACCATAGCGATGATGAGGAAAACGAATCGAAGATCATGTATAAAATGTTTTAATGGAAAAAGCACTTTGCAATTTCTAATCTAACATTTGTTTTGAATTCAGAATTTGATATGTAACAGGCCAACATTTTAAGGCAGAAAGCAGATTTCATATATTTATTTCGGAAACTATTTACGCATTCAATGCGAGAAAAGTCGGTTTCCGCTATATTTGGGTTATATTACATTAAGAGGTGATTTTTATTTGTCATTTTGACAGGGCATGTATTATTCTTTCCCTTAAAAAGCAACATTGGCTCGTAAGTACAACAAGTAAGTCTTCAATAAATTGTTAGTTGAAATATATGTGTTTAACATAATACTAGACATTCGAGAAATTCCATATTTTGCTATCAGATCTATTACAAATTGAGTTTTGTACGCGCAACATTGATTAAATCCTGTAATAAAACAGCAAATACCAGCATCATCAGAAGACTGGCTGGAACTGGAATTTCTTAAAACTAAAACATCGCACATTCCTATGTACATTTGAATAGTAAGTTAATTTAGGTATAACTCTGCCCTCTTTACTCCTGTTTCTGCTACTAATGTAGAATAGAAAGAAGAAATATAAGTAATTTTGAAAATATTTTACAACTTTCTGTTAAACAAGTGAAATTTGAATCAAACAACAAGAAAAGAACCTAAATAGTAACGTGAATCATTGAATTTAGTGGAATATTCGACAAAGTTTAGGTAGATACAGTATTTTATTAGAAATAAGAAGGATTTCACTAGTCCATAAAATTTTTACTTGTTTGCTATTAATTGTTATGAAAACTTTAAACGTTCATGAATTAAGTGTTGCATATATCTGGGTTGTACAACATCGTAAATTCCGTAAATAAAACTGTTTTCAAATTAATACAAATAAGTAGTATTAAAAACAAAAACATTGAATATGCACACATTGGGGTTTATATAAATCTAGTTTCCAATAAATTTAAAAATCAAACGAAATTAATTCATCTATAAAATATGTTTGATATCTACTGATAAATATTTGATTTGTATTTTTTATAGTCCCTATTTACTTATCACTTGATATTCCGTACGTCTTAATTAGTAATTACTATTAATTATAATTAATAACTTCGCACATAATTGTTGATTTATCTTATCTAAAGGGAATTTAATAAAATGCGTTTTTTTATTGGCAATACCTACATAGAACTAATTATCTTTCAAATGATGATTAAGTTTTAGTATGCAGCGCACCTAATGCGAGTAAGTTTAGTAAGAAAAAGAAGTTGAAATGGTTGAAGAAACTTCTGAACCGCAAAGGTAAGGCATTTCCCTGTAACATCTACATTCGTTATTATTATTTATATTATTGTAAATTAAATGCTCGAGCAAATAATAGTGAATTCAATAATTGCTCATTTTTTATTGGACTTTGAATCCAAGT